TTGGCCAATAGAATCTTCCTGCCTATTCGTAGCAGCCAGCTATTGGCTCTCACTCTGGCCAGTAGAAAATGGCGACAAACCACAGGAAAACTACCGTAGAAGCATGAAAAAAATCGATTATTTCCACTATCGATGGGAATTGGGAAATGCAATGTCGGTCTTGGCGTTTCCGCTAACTTGAAGCAAGTGCATGCAAATTTTGGTGCAAATCTGTCGAAAATTGCGGCCGTGCATTCGTTACACACACACACACACACACACACACACACACACACATCCTGCCTTTTATAGACAGAGATGACATGTTCATTCACCTTGTCAGGATAGTAGATGCTTTCAGCATTTTCGTAGCTGTCGTCCACAGAGCCATATTTTCCTTCTTCCTCAAAAATGATATTTACCTTCACTGCCCTACCGTCTACTTCTGATTTTCTGTTCTGAAAAAATATATTTAAAAAAAATCATGGTTCTCCACAACTTCATATCTTTGGTACAGGCTTCAATCAAAATCACCTCGGCATAACGTACACTTCCTTGTGCATTTTCTATAAACATTGGTTTGGATGAGCTTTTCTTTTAACTACCCCATGCCGAATAGTTCGGGGGTCCGACTATTTACCGAAAATCTGATCAAGTGACGAAACATCAAAATTTCGTTTGGAATCTCTCCTTACTCGAACTCAGAACGGTTTGCTTTGGTTTACGTTGTTTAATGTCATCTCAACCTCAAAGGGATATTTAATGCGAACAAAAGATTGTTTGGTGGGTGGGGAGGGTGTTTGTTATACTCAATGGACTATTTAATGCCGACAAGATTTTTATTTCTGGTAATATGTTTTCCATTAATGTACACTTGGTAATTTTTTCTTCAAACCTGTATTTTTGGTAATTTTTTTTTTCTTCAACAAAGTGTTGCTGGTAAAAAAAATTTTTTTCAAAAATATATTTCTGATAATTCTTCCCTCGAATGTATTTCTCGTAATAAAATCTATTTTTACAGGGTTTTGACCCCAGTTTGTGAGTCAACTATTTGCCCATAGCTGGAAGCCTAACAGGTCTGTCACCCAGGGTAAGGGTAGACCTGGGAACACCAGCAATTAAGAGGTGGTTCCACGCTCCTCAAAACCTCCTGATCAAAGCCTTGCTGTTGGACGTAGTTTATCGTCTTACCCAGGACGCGGATGTAGTTTATCGTCATACCCAGGACGCGGATGTAGTCTCAGTTTCGGGGTTAACTATTTGCCCATAGCTGGAAGCCTAACAGGTGCTGCCACCCAAGGTAAGAGTAGACCTGGGAACACCAGCAATTAAGAGGTGGTTCCACGCTCCTCAAAACCTCCTGATCAAGGCCTTGCTGTTGGACGTAGTTTATCGTCTTACCCAGGACGCGGATGCAGTTTACCGTCTTATCTAGGACGCGAACCGAGAACGTTAGATCACAATTTGGTATGTAGTAATTTTTTAGGTTGGGGGGGGATGTATTACTTGATAAGAATACAAAATCGACCCCTCACTTTATGTATGGTATAATCATATAACTACTTCGACGAGGTACTAAATAGTTCTCGGCACGGCGCACTTAACAAAATCTAACCAAACATCGGAATTTCTTTTAGAATGTTTACTTAGCCCAACTGAGGACATTAGCTCACACTCTTGCATGTAATAATTATTAGGGGATCAATTTATTACTTAGTAAGAATAGAATATCGATCCCTCACTTTATATATAGTATAATCATTTAATCAATCATTCGCCCTTGCATGGGCTATTGCTGCCATATATGGTTTGGGACCCCTTCTGTTTGTCTCAAGGTCCTTGATAAAATCCAGAGACGGATATGCAATGTAATTGGCCCTGATCTGGCATCTCGTCTACAGTCACTCTCTCACAGACGTGCCGTCGCCCCTCTCTTTTTTACAAATACTTTCATGGTAATTGCTCCGATGAGCTGCTTTCACTGGTTCCCAGACTTCATGAATTCAAGCGCCCTACGAGGCTGGCATCCCGCTCTCACTTTTACACTGTAGAAACTTTTAAATATAGCTGCCTCTTCTACTCCAATAGCTTCATGTCTCGCACCTCTTGCCTGTGGAACTCCCTTCCCTATTCCTGTTTCCCTGAGAGCTATAATCTCCAACTATTCAAATGTAATGTCAATTGACATCTCCAATTGCCTTGATCTATCCACTATCCTTCTCCTCATCCTTCTCCTCATCCTTTCCTCTATCACTCCTATCTGCTCTCGCTCCAAATCCCGCCTTGCTTGGGGTGAAATGCTTAAAAAATATATATAAATACATCGATAAGGTGCCGAGTTCTTTTCGGTCTGCGTGCTTCCCAAAATCTAACCAAATGACCAAACATCAAAATTTCTTTTGGAATTTCTTCTTAGTCAGACCAAGAGCGTTAAATCCCACTGTTGGTTGTAGTGATTTTTTGTGAGGGGAGATCAATTTATTACTTAGTAACATTAGAAAATCGATCCCCAACTTTATGTACGGTATACTCATAACTTAGATTATTTACATTATTCGGACTGTTAGCCTTATCTTCACTGCCATATTCACAACGTTTCGGCCGTTTTACACTCCGGCCTTCTTCAGGTGATTAGAATTTCGAACCGAACCCTTTATTTCCTCCACCGGGGTTCCCCAACATTTTTATCGACTGGGTCATGTTTTCTTGTTCGGTTGAACTCTCTTCCTACGGACGGGAGGAACCCGAAGGAGGCTACGCCGTAGACCGGCCCAGAACCCGTTTATACGGGTTCAATGGGCATATTTTTGGCTCACGGGCTCGGAGTGCCCACGTTAAAAAGGCCTTGTGCCACATGACACCCTCGTAGCGGGAGGTGACTGAATATTGTCATGTTTTCTTGAGAACGTCTGTGAATTAAGTTTTAGGATTTATAAACTTAATATCTCAACAATTATTTTTTGTCAGTACTCATATTGCAATTTTTTCTATTATTATTGCATTTTTTTTTTTACCAGAGCTATTTCGGCAATAATGGACAAGCGTGCCCGTAATACGAAAGTCAACACTGAAGATGAGCTTTTCTGCGACTTAGAGTAATGTTGGAAAAATCTGTCGAAGGACGTTGACTTACTAAAGAATTTAGTCTATAGCATGCCACAAAGAATTAAGGCTGTTATTAAAGCAAAAGGTTACCCAACAAAATACTAAATCATGTTTTGTCTTGTATAATGTACAGATATACACCTTTATTATTAGCCTGTATTAATAAGCCATTTCTATTACTCGTCTTGCTAAAAATATAAAAATCGACTTTCTATGAGCTTATATTTTTACCAGAGCTTATATACAAGTCAATTGGATAAAAACGTTAGTTAGATCCAGTGGCTAAACCCAAAGAGTTGTGAGTCCAATACCAGGCCACTGCAGGAGTGAACCAAAAAAATGGAGAGGTCAGTTAAAGTAAAATATCTGAGACATCCGGAAGTGACATGGCACGTTGAACTAGAACAATCTATCCCAGTGGACAAGATAAAGTGTTCGGTTCGAAAGTCCAGTCACCTGAAGAAGGCCGTAGAGTACAACGGTCGAAATGTGAATATGACAATGAAGATGAGGATAACAGTCCGAATAATATAAACTATGCAAGTAATCATAGTACCTCATCTCAGAGATAAAGACAGGTATAATCATATAAAGCACAGTGTCATATGTTGTAATTATTGGGAGATCGATGTATTACATTTTATCAATAAAAAATCCGAGGAGGTGCTGAATAGTTCTCGACTCCCTCCTTAAATGCTGACCTGCTGAAGTTGGAAGCGTTGAAATTCTGTCGACCATTTTCCGTTGACATTTTGTAATCTATTTGGCTTTTTGGAGTCTCGTAATAAATACATTTTTCATCGCTAGTTTATATTTTCCTATGTTGAATAAGAAAAAGGAAAAAGAAGAATTTAATCAACGATCGAATCAGGCTGCAAACAATCGACATTCAGCAACTGATTGATTGCACAAGAAACAAAGAGTCGAACCGCTTTGAAAAAAAACGCTTTTAAGATTTCCTTCATGATGTAAATGTTAGTGGGAACCACTTTCTTTATATATATATATATATATATATATATATATATATATATATATATATATATATATATATATATAGGATGGGCTGAAAAATTCTTAGGCTGACCATGAAGGGATGGTGCTACAGATGTGAAATCTTACATTCATTGCATTAATTTAAACTCTTCTTATTAATAATTGCATTGTTTCTTTCGTCGTTTCTAACATGTTCGCTTCATGGTGCCCTCAGCATCCTTCTGTAGAACCTGATTTCCGTTGCTTCAAGTCTCTTCTTTCGCTTTGAGAAGATTGTCCAGCACTCATTGCAGTACAGGAGGAAAGATATAAACGCAACAGTCTTCCTTGTTTATAGCTAAGTTTTTCTAGTACTAAGCTAAGCATTTGTAATGCTTTGTTCGCTATCAGAATACGCCTTCGGATTTCAATGTCACACATACGATTTTATGTTGAGAAAAAAAAAAAAACTTCCCAGATACATAAATTTCCGCACATGTTTTATTTTCTCTGATTTGACTACTTTGATTGCCAACTCTTCCAGTAGCCTAATCAGAGTCCTGACCGTAATCCAATTTAAAACATTTCGGAGATAATGGACAAGAGTGCCCGTCAGAGCAAAGTTAACGCAGAAGATAAGCTTTTCCACGAATTAGAGTAATCCTGGAAAAATCTGTCGAAGGACGTTGACTTACTAAAAATTTAGTCGATTGTATGCCACGAAAATGTAAGGCAAAAGGTTACCCATCAAAATATTAAATCATTTTTTTTTACTTGTATAATGTACATATGTACACCTGCATTAATAGCCTGTATTAATAAGCGAATTCTATTACTCACTTGTCCTGATAAAAATATTTTTTTTTTTTTGCCTTGTACTGTAAATCTTTGCCATTTTACACGTTTCTCACTGTGATGGTTGCTTTAACATGAGAGTTTAGTTTCTTTCCTCTCTTTCGACAAAGATCTACACATTTTACGTACACGCACACTGTCTTCCCCTCTCTCTCTCTCTCTCTCTCTCTCTCTCGCTATCTATCTCTCTCGCTATCTCTCTCTCTCTATCTGTCTATCTCTCTCTATATCTATCTAACTATCTATCTCAGCCTGTTCATATCTATCTATCTATCTATCTATCTATCTATCTATCTATCTATATATATATATATATATATATATATATCTTAGCCTGTTTATATCTATATATCTATTTATCTAGCTCAGCCTGTTCATATCTATCTATCTATCTATCTATCTATCTATCTATCTATCTATCTATCTACCTCAGCCTGTTTATATCTATCTATCTATCTATCTATCTATCTATCTATCTATCTATCTATCTATCTATCTATCTCAGCCTGTTCATATCATCTATCTATCTATCTATCTATCTATCTATCTATCTATCTATCTATCTATCTATCTATCTATCATATTCATTATCTATCTATCTATCTATCTATCTATCTATCTATCTCAGTTCATCTATCTATCTATCTATCTATCTATCTATCTATCTATCTATCTATCTATCTCAGCCTGTTTATATCTATCTATTTATCTATCTCAGTCTGTTCATATTTTTTATCTATCTATCTATCTATCTATATATATATATATATATATATATATATATATATATATATATATATATATCAGCCTGTTTATATATATTTATCTATCTCAGCCTGTTCATATCATATCTATCTATCTATCTATCTATCTATCTATCTATCTATCTATCTCAACCTGTTTATATCTATTTATCTATCTCAGTCTGTTCTGTTCTATCTATCTATCTATCTATCTATCTATCTATATATATATATATATATATATATATATATATATATATACCGAGTGTCTTCAAAAATGCACCCTCATTAAATAACAATAAATGCAGTGTTTATTGACTTGCAAGCAAGATTAATGTTTAAATTTACAAATATTAACGGTTATTGACTTTCAAAGAACATTAACTGTTTAAAATAAATATTACATAAATATTCTGATAGCATCAGCTCTAGAATTGGTATCTTTGCTTATGACACAACAATTGACTCCTGTCGCGATAGTAAGTCTGGTCAGATCGATAAGGTTAAATTAACAGTTGACCTAATAAAGAGACCTATAGTCTGTTGTTAACTGGAGGAATAGAATGGCTCATTAATTTTAACACCTTCAAAACAAAACTGCTCTCTATTAATCATAAAAGAGACCCCATTTCTGCCTTCCATCAGCATGGCCGATGCTATCCTCTTGGAGAGTGATTCGTTGTGCTTTCTCGGACTAAAAGACACTAAGTGGAAAAACTATACTGAATTCATTAGTAGGTCTGCTGTCAAGAAGTTTGGTTTATTGCGTCGTGCTGTACGATTTTTCTCTCCTGAAACTATTTGACATATGTATAAGTCTAGCAGTCATCCATGTCGCGAATATTGCTACATATTGCTCCTGGTTTATATTTCAAAATTCTTTATAAAATCCAGACAAATCTGCAATATTATTGCTACAAACACTATGCACACATAAATCTTTTGTAAAATTTAATAATCATGTATTTTCATTGGCCAGTTGTACTATACATAAAGTACATTTTTTCAAGAGCGGTTAAAATGCAGGTAGAAAACATTCAGAAGTTGCACTATACATGCAATCGACTTATTAATGTTTTGCCTTGTGTTTCTCAAGTGTCTTTTTTCTGACATTTTCGAAGCTATTTGTTCTTCTTTGACCAACATTTCAGTCTGTTTCTTGAATGTTCTAACATTTCTGTCAAACCTTCCGTGCCCTTTTCAATGTTATGTTCCCATCACTCAATATGGAAGTACAAAAATGAATGCCAGTTTCAATACTAAGACGAACAACTGCCAAATATGTTAATGCAAATACATTTTATTAAAAGTATTTATACTAACATATTTAACAGTGCGATTATTATTAGTAACACAGCATCAAAATATATGAAATTTCGAGGAGTTAACGCATTTTAGGTCAACAGATCTTGTGCCAAAAGAGCGTTCAACAGGAAACGAAAGCTATAATATTCAAGACGGAAATAAGAGTTTAATTTACTGACTGCAAAGATTTATCGAACATTTCACCCTTAAGGGCGTTTTATGATCGATTTGATCAGGATTCTTCTGTTAATCTTGAAGAGTAATTATACATTCTTATTGTTTAAAGTGGAGTCCAATAGTGTTATAAAAACCTAAGAGAAATTCAGTAAGATATCTTTAATGATTTCCAAGCTTAATGGAACAATTGGACAGTTTTGCCGTTACACGATTTGGACAATTTTGTTGTTACACTCACCTTCATCCCTGCCGACAGCTTAGTGGTAGAATCTCCGACTGACACCAATTCAGTCGGGTTTCGATCCTAGCTAGAGGCAACCGGATGTCTAGCCACACTGAAGAGCTGTGAAACAGCGAAACAGTCTGTCTGTGGATAACTTTATATAGGCTCCTGAAAAATTAATTTCGGTTGAGCTCTCTGGGGAAGAGGTGTGGCTTTGTAAACAGTGACTATTATGGCTGATATAGCGAGACTCTTCGGCAAAAGCGAATTGAGTCACTGTGTGTGTTTATCTAGAAATAAATACGGTAAAATTCAAGTTCAAACATTCCGTTCGCCGACGGCTTTGTGGTAGAATCTCTGACTGACAGCAATTCAGTCGGGTTCCGATCCAAGCTAGAGGCAACCGGTTGTCTAGCCATACTGAAGAGCTGCGAAACCGTCTGTCTGTGAATGACTTTTTATATATATATATATATAATATTATAAATTAATTGATTTAAAATATGTTTTTTTTTGGCTACACAGTTCTAACCATGTTTCAAAAATGGAAGCTAAATTTTGTGATTAAATTAAGCTTTAATTTTGTGATTAAATTCAAGACATTAGTTCCATTGGAACTAATGTCTTTAATTTAATTGCAAAATTAAATTCGTGGCTTTTAGCTTCCATTTTTGAAACATGGTTAGAACTGTGTAGCGAAAAAACATATTTTAAATCAATTAATTTCTAAAATTAATGCTCTGTAAATTTACATTGAGCACTATTTTGTAAAAATAAAATATCTATAAGAACACCGGATTATATATCTTGCTGTTCTTTTTATATATATATATATATATATATATATATATATATATATATATATATATATATAGAATGCATTTGGACGAAGTGTTTAGGGAATTACAACAAAAGCTGAAAGTTTTTAATGGAACGTTGGTTAGAACTTGGTAAGTACATTTTTTTCGATGAAATATTCTGAGAAAAAAATTTAACCAAAAAGCATCCATGAAATGCTTTCAAAGTAGAACTCGTGTAAAGATTTCAGAAATTTAAAAGAATTTCTTTCTGTCTGTTGCTATAGAATTTATGAATAGTATGTACTTTTTATCCGTTAGCATTCTCCTTTGAATGATCTATATAAAACTTTCTTTAAAAAAAAGACATTTCATGTATACGCGGCCTTGATGTAACTTGGCAAAAAAAAAATGTAATAAAAGTGTCCTTCTGTGCATGCGTCAATAGATCAGGATTTTCTAATCATTTCACCCCAAGCAAGGCAATAAAGCCACTAAGACACAAAGAGTAACTAAGTGTCATAGAGCATGAGATGAAAAGGAAAATAATATTATGGCGAAAGAGTAATAAGAGTAAGAAGTCCTAAGATAACGATTTATCAACTCGGGGAAAATGAGGATGATTAGACAACGGATCCCATGTTGCCAAGGTAATATATATATATATATATATATATATATATATATATATATATATATATATATATATATATATATGTATGTATGTATATATTGTGTATTTATGCAGCATCTTTTCATTCATACACGTTTCATTAAATAATATAGACAAGTGTTGTCTATTTATTTTATGTAAATTCTTTTCATAACGTCTGATAAGTTTAATAAAATTATCGTTGAACGAAGAAAGAAATTCACATTATTGATCCATATTTTTTAATACAATCTAAGCTTTCGGCTTACAGAAGACATTATCAAAGATGTCAATTACAACATATTAAGCAATATACGGACAAGACAATGATGATAGTCTGTCGTTGTTTACATAGATGATTTCTGAGCAATGATAAACACGTGCATATAAGACGCTAGAAGCGAAAATCGCACCGCATGTCATGACGTCACACATGACCACACGAGAGTGAATTGGAGAAGTATGAAGTATGGGAAGTCGTTGGTATAAACCAATGGCTTCTGTTACCAATTATAGACAATTATGGATATTTGTAGAGATTCCATAGTTTCATCGATGTAAACAATCACAGACTATCATCACTGTCTTGTCCGTATATTGATTAATATGTTGTAATTGATATCTTTGATAATGGCTTATGTAAGCCGAAAGCTTAGATTGTATTAAAAATATGGATCAATATATATATATATATATATATATATATATATATATATATATAAGATGTTTTAAACGATCGGTAAACTTACCAAAGTTCATTTTTTCTCCAGTGTTCCCTCATTTGCTGGAACAAATTTCACGAGGGATTGTTAGAATTACTCAAAAACGAAATGTAGCAACATTTGAAAGTACTCAGGAGAAAAAAATGATCTTTGGAAAATTTACTGATTATAAAATGGGATAGACAGAAATTATCGATATTCAAACATATCTGAAAGACTTCTTTCTGTCGAAATACCCTTTATATATGTATATATGAATTCCTGTATGTATGTATGGTCTGCTCAGCATAGCAACAATACAAACCGCAATGGACTTTGGAGTTTGAGCTGACGTCTATAATAGGGACATACTACTTACCCTAGCAGACGTGTGTGGCCGGAAACAAATAACCACCTATTATTATGCATATATGTAGGCATCTCTCTAGAGTTTCAGATATTTATTTTATTTTTTTAATTGAGTTAACAAACATAAGATTTTAATTTCTAACTGTGTAGATTTGCACGCTTTGACCCGTAAACACTCACATATACACTCCACACACACATATATATATATATATATATATATATATATATATATATATATATATATATATATACTACTAAATTTAATGCAATAAGAAAAATGACAATGGAGTAAGTATCCCGCCTCGTTATTCCTTCTTTCCATTTTTTTACTTTATGCACATAATATATATATATATATATATATATATATATATATATATATATATATATATATATATATATATTAAGGTTTTATTATGTTTAACATTTTTTATAGATACAAGTATTTAAGTAAATGCTCTGTTTATAATAAACAGTATTAAATAACATTTATTATAAACAGAGCATTTACTTAAATACTTGTATCTATAAAAAGAATGTTAAACACAAAATGTCTTTAATAAATTGTCGGACTTTGTCCAATTTTAATATATATATATATATGTGTATATATATATATATATATATATATATATATATATATATATATATATATACAAATCACCAGTTACTTACCATCGCCTGAAGAGGTACAATCATAGTATTGAAATATGAAAGCTTTTTTGTGTAGCGATTTTTGACATATTTTTATTATAATCTAATTTTATTTGTATATCTGAAAAACTTAATAAAAAATTGTTACCGATTCTATACGACAAAACTTGTTTCAAATAATTCTCGCTGGCAAAATACATATATATATATATATATATATATATATATATATATATATATATATATATATATATATATATATTGTTTTAAAGAATCGGTAAACTTTTCCCTGAGTACCTTCTGAATGTTGCTACATTTCTTGTCAAAGATATCGTTCTTATTTGAATTCAAAGGACTTTAATAGAACAAAATCTTGATGTTCTCTCATAGAAAGAGAAACCCAAATATCCTACGATATATATATATATATATATATATATATATATATATATATATATATATATATATATGTCTGATTGAATAACTTACAGACATTATATCTGCTATTTTTTATTAAAATCTGTTCATAATCTTCCATGTATTAATATTAAAGCATGAGGGAAATGTGCTATAGCTGTTTAAATTTCTTTTATTTTCATTTTCCAAGTAGTTTCGATCTTTTTCCAAGCTCATTTTCAGGATTGCACGTATTACAAAACTACATATACAACCAATTTAATTATTAGCAATAACTCCTCCCCACCAACTGATGTATTACGTAAAACCAAAATTATATATCAATTTAAATGTTCTTTAGGAGAATGCACCTCCGACAAAAAACAAAACAAAACAAAACAAAAAAATATATATGTTGGGTATACGACAAATACACTAACAAGAAGGCTTACATTACACATGTCTGACCATTCGTCCATTGCGAGGCATCTACAACATTCCTGTTCGCATTCTCAATATAAAAAAAATTACTAATCGACAATACAACTATAATATACCATGAAAACAACAAATTCAGATTACAGATACTAGAGACAATTTATATTAAAAACCTAAAGCTGGCACTGAACAGTATTATGAATATGAACTATGAATACTGCAGTAATGTTCTGAAATGCCTGTAAAGGAACAGTTTATTCACGCTTTAATACGCCCATGACTATGACATTTTAACATAGAGAGAAAAAATTCCATAGTTCCACACACACACACACACACACACACACACACACACTCTCTCTCTCTCTCTCTCTCTCTCTCTCTCTCTCTCTCTCTCTCTCACATATATATATGTGTGTGCGGGGGGAAAGGAGGCACGGTGGGGTAATGGATATCGGCTTGGATTGTGGAATCGCAGAGCCGAGTTCGAATCCAGGTTGAACCCATTACATTCACTTACTTACGTGGGAAAGGTGCGAATCCTCTTCTTCTCCCTCCAGATATGGGTTAAATAGCAGGACAGACTGGGTTCTATAGCCTCGGATGGCAACTGGTCTAGGAGAAGGACAACTCTGAATTCAAAACCTGAGGGGGTCGTTTGGGGACCTTGTGGCACGTAGTGCACCAGGTCTCTGTATTCAACCCTTCAAAAAGTGTGGATGGTCCTGCACGAAACCTTCATCCCTATAATCAAATCTCATGTGCTGTTGTCGGGCTGTCGGTTTCCTGGAAACTGATCTGCTTGGCCCTCATACGTCGAATTCGACGGGAGAGTCGATTTATTTATTTTTTTATATATATGTGTGGGACATCAAGGGGAAAACTATAACATATATCAATTCGGTATTTCCTCTGATAATTTTTGTAAAAAATAAACAACCGAAGATCACACATATTTAACATAGATAAAGTTTTCATAATGTGTGAGCTGTATTTGTGAGTAGATTGTCTTTGTATTTTAAGCCATAGGCTACCAGGGATTCCTTCAATGAGTTTATTGGAAGATTTTCCAATCAAACCGAGAGCTCCAAATACAACCGGAATTATTGATATCCTCATATGTAACATTTTTTTTAGATTTCCACTTCAAGATCACTGTACTTTGATAGAATTTTTTTGAGGATCTCCGTAGGTACATTACAATTTGCAGGAACTAGCATATCAATATGAAAGAAGTGGTATTTGATCACGATGACTGTTCGATTAAGTTTGATTGTTCTGCCTGAGTGTATTGTAAAGGCCCAAAATGCGGAACATGTCCGATCTCCATAACCGGGTCTGAGTAGTGTTTATATTATTATTATTATTATTATTATTATTATTATTATTATTATTATTATTATTATTATTGATTTTGTTGTTTATTATTATTATTATTGCTTTTGTTGTTGTTTTTATTGTGTTTTTGTTGTTCTGGTATTTTTATTCTTCTATGGTTCGTTTAATTTGATGATGTCATTAGCGGTGAGGAAAACAACCGTTAATGTTTGCTTGATGTTTTTCGGTCTGTAGAATGTAGGTGAGGCTATAAAATGTCGTTTATTTATTAAATTATTCATGGATTTCATTTTTTTTCCTATAAGAAAAAATACATTCTAGACGAAGAAAGAATCGAAGACTAATACATCGATATATCGTGGCAGAATCAAAACAAATACGGCGGAAAAAAAACTAAATATCTCTTATATGTTTACCAACAACACAACAATAAACAATATATATATATATATATATATATATATATATATGTGGTGTGTGTGTGTGTGTGTGTGTGTGTATGTATTTATGTATGTATGTACGTATTTGTTTATTAAATTAGAAGTAAAAACGTTCAATATTTATCGAAGGTCGCACCAGTGTTTCGTAAATTATCAATCATTTATCGGAACTCTCGACAAGAATTATTGTATTGATCACAGAAAATCTATAATATATATATATATATATATATATATATATATATATATATGTGTGTGTGTGTGTGTGTGTGTGTGTGTGTGCGTGCAGATATGTAGAAAAATAGGAAAGAACACCTTAGATAAATAATCCGGACTTCTTTAGTATTTTTATTTTATTTTAAAAAAAAAAACAATGCTACATACAGAAGTAGAGCTTAAATTATCATTATTTTTTTTTAATTATAATTCCTTCACTACATTAGTGTTCTCATGTTTCAAAAACGAGAGCCGAAAATCTCAATATAATTATTAAAATTGAATTGAATTAAAGTATCAAGCCCTGTTTCATCCTAAAGCGAAAATTTAGCAATAACCAATCTTGAAATTTACGCATCTTTGTAAGCATGTTCACTCGCAAAATTCGGCTGGGACGACCATTTTAGTAAGGGGCCAAAGACATAATTTTTATCCACATATCAATCAGCTTCGGAAAGAGGACAAGCCGAGTTAGGGTCGGGGTGTGCATTTCAAAACGAATGATGGAATTCATGTGCGCACATCGTCTGGTCAGTTATAGCGAAAGATAGCTTTTGGCACCATAATATGTCTTTAAGTGTCTAGAGAATTTTGTTTTTATTTATTTATTTATTTATCCTTTTTTTTCTAAAGGGCTGTTTCGTACTTAAACACGTCACACTGATGCGGGATCTGTTCCATAACTTTATAGATTTCAAGAAGACCTTCGGAATAGTGTGGCATGACGGTCTATGGCATGTCCTGAGGAATTTTGGGAGAGCCCCATCCAGACTATCGCGACACTGTATAAGACCCCCAGTAGTGCGGTTCTCTTCAGCAGTCAGGTGGTTGACAATTCCAAGACCGAAATTGGCGTCCGTTTGCTTTCCTCAACGTTGTTCAATTTCTCTCTTGAGAACATCATACGAGACAGCCACCAAGCCTTTCAGTCCACTATATCCATAGGAGGGAAAATCATTAACAACTTACGCATCACAGATGACATTGACTTGCTGGGTGGCGGCAACTCCGAAATGCAGGGTTTCACCAACAGATTGACAGACATTGTAGCGGCCTATGGAATGGAAGTGAGCAATGAGAAGAGTAAAGTCCTGGTCAACAGCTCAACCAACATCAGGGGCCAGGTCTTGATGAATGTAGAGCAACTGGGAGAAGTGGACGCCTTTAGATACCTTGACGTTACCCTCACCAAAGATGCGCTCTCTACAACAGAGAGCAGGACTAGAATGGCTTGGGCAACATCGGCAATGGCAAAACTCAGTAAGATTTGGAAGGGCAAAAATACCAGCTTTCCAACCATGATGAACCTCTACAAATCTCTGGTAGTGTCCATACTGCTCTAACCTGGACTCTGATAACAGAAACCACCAAGATAGTTTAAACATTTGAAACGATATGCTTTAGATGCACATTCGGCATCTCATGCAGAGAACAGAACACAAGAGAAATGACTTTGTACAGGGCCAAGTAACAACTGGTTGGCCCTCAGGAGTCTCTCTTGGCAACAAGTTGAGAAAGCTGTTGTGGATTGGACATGTCATCCACCACAATACCCTACCCAAGATGGTCCTTCAAGGTACCTTGGAAATGGATAGACGTGAGTGGGGAGGTAGTCCAAAATATTGATGAACATCAAAGAATGAACCAGGATGGACGCTTCGATGGTGTTTCGTGAGGCAGAAAACATATCTGGTTCGCGGCGACTGGCTGCATCATCGTCGCTTATGTGTCCACGTCGATCGGTACGGTCATGAGAAAGGAGGATATTTCCTAAAATACATCAATTGGATGCTTTGGTACACATTATCAGTGATGTTTCTAGCCGAGGTTCATTAGGGGTTTCGGGTCGTTCAACGTCTTACCCACTCGCCGCGGTGAGCCAGACGATATTGATTAGGTACCGAATTGTGTACCATCCGTCAGCTAGAATTTTCCCAATCAGACACGGCGACACCTGTTGGCAATTTATAGTACAATCACGGATAACTTCCGGTCTAGTAGAAATCTACGCTCTTGAATAAAAAAGGAAGCAAACGCAGTTTCGATCTGGTTAGGAACATGACGCGATGCTCGGCTTGTAGTGGTAAGTAACGTTTCCTCCGTCAGATATACACACACACACACACACACACACACATATATATATATATATATATATATATATATATATATATATATAGTTTTCATTTCATTTTCAAGCGACAGTGAATAACTTTCGAAAAATGATTTACCGTTTTTTATAAGCTAAATAGCATTATATACTTTAAGTTGTTGGGGGAATGAGAATTCTAAATATTTTTAAGTGTGTGTTGTTGTTTTTTACGAATCAGGATACAAGTATAATTTAAGGTATCAAAGTAAATATAAGTTAAAGGTCAAGTGTGAGTTTGTAATTTCTGTGTCGCGATGAATACGTATTTTTAAATAAGAATAATTATAATTATAATATTATGCTCTACTGTGTATCGAGCACGGTTTTTAAAAATGTTGTTGAGTAGCTAGCACCCCTTCAGCACACTACGAGGTGGCCAGGCTCATAGCCTTAAATAGTCTACGATTAAAGACTTCGACAGTTGATTAGTAAATTAACACCAAGCTGATTAATATTTGGACTGATTTTAATTCGTTTGGCTATACAGCATTTGACCCTCTTCTACTCTTTGTAAGTTGTCTTGTTAATTGTTTAGTAACTTAGTGTTCTGTGTTTTTTGCATGCATCCGTTAGCTCCGGATACTGATGCTGAATAAATATATTAATTCTTTCTTCGCTGTGTATCATTCACATTGAGGATACAGCAAAGAATAAATGCTAAAGAACTCTGTATTTTAAATCTGACTGTTCCTTTATATATATATATATATATATATATATATATATAATATAATATATATATATATATATATATATATATATATATATATATATATATATATATATATATATATATATATATATATATATATATATATATATATATATATATATATATATATATATATATATATATATATATATATATATATATATATATATATATATATATATATATATATATATATATATATATATATTATATTATGGGCGAGTAGGTAGGTTTTTACCATGAGACCCGGGTTCGATTCTCACCGTGGTCGATTTATCAGGAAGGAAACTTCCTGATGTCATCGTTCTGGAGGGGCGATCGAAGCGTGCGGCACATTTGGAAAGTGCCTAAAATCCATACCACGGGTCGACCCAAGACTTGTGAATGGAACTAGGTAGACGAGACCCTTAGGGGCCAACGATAGATGTGCTAGCACGAAGTTGCAAATCATCGTGGTCGAGGGCTTGAGCGTGACAATCTTGTTCAGATTGTTGATCCCAGAAACTGTAATTCATGTCTGCTCAGTATAGTTGCAGTATGAACTACAGGTGGTTTTTGTACGAGTTGAACAAACAGAATATTGTTAAGAGTATTACTACCTAATAATAACTACGAACACGGCCACAATGTGCTAACCGTGCTCAGAAAATAAAACATCTCTATAGCACACTAAAAACATACATATATACACACACGCTCAATTAAACTGAAAAAATAAAATCATCCTTGACAATGGCTAAATGTATAGCCGAAAGCGCTCGGAACTATAGAACACTTGAACAGTTTCTACACACTCTGTTTCCAAAAAAGAAAGCTCTTGTGCGAACACAAGTAAAACGGATACATGCAAAAAAACGCAGAACACTAAGTTACAAAACAATTAACAGGAGAACTTACAAGGAGTAGAATAGGGTAAAAAAAGAAGCTTAACCGTAGTACTTTATCGTTTTTAATGAAACATGCATAAAAAACATTGCTGCCTAAATGCGTGAAACCCAGGGTCACAAACTCACATCTATCCAACCAAATATATATATATATATATATATATATATATATATATAAACATACTAATAGCAAAAGGCAAAATGTTAAAACTGACCCTACAAATTCTAAGTTTGCGAAAAAAAGACAACAAAGGACATACAAGAAAGAAACAGGCACCTAGCTAAACAAAAAATTGCTCAATGCCTATTTTATAAAGAAACCGGAAACAGGACCCCAATTAAGACAGAACTATATGCATAACAATTACCGTATTTTCTGGCTTACAAGACGCACATTTTTCTCCCTAAAAATACCCTAGAAAATACGTGTGCGTCTTCCAAGACGAATGTAAGGCAACACCCGGTCTCAAGACGTGGATTTGTATGTTGAGTCATTACACTATAATGTTAGCTATCTAATTTAACCTCTCATATTATCTAACCTCAGTACTTAGCTGTTACAAGTATTTCCTAAACTATAAACCTTCCTGGAGCCGAGTCACAAGCTGAAACATGCTCTGTTTACTATCAGCGACAGGGACCTTCCTGTTCTTGACTAGTATGTCATTGTCATACAAACAAAATCGGACGAGTGATTAATGTAAACAATACGTGACGCATGGTGAATATGTTGTTGAATGCGAATGACCTTTTTATCCTTAAATCTTTTTCCAATATTAGGGTGACTCTTCAAAGCCGGAAAATACAGTATTCGTGTGTACGCTTGTGTGCGTGTGTGTGTATGTGTGTGTGCCTGTGTCTATATGTACGTGTATGTGCTTGTCTCTGTGCATTTGTGCGTGTGTGTGTGTGTGTGTGTGTGTGTGTGTGCGTGCGTGCGTGCGACTGTAAATGCATGTTGTGCGTACATGTCTGTTTTCGAGTGAGTGCGGATGTGTATGCGTGTATATGTCTTTGCATGCGGGTGTGTGAGTGCGTGTGTCTGTGCATGTGCTCGTGTATGTGTGTGTGTGTGTGTGTGTGTGTGTGAGAGAGAGAGAGAGAGAGAGAGAGAGAGGGCGTCTATCGGATGTTGCAGGTGTGTTCAGCAAAATTCTTCTTTGCTTAAGTATTTTTTTCGGAATATTTTTCTATTCCGGCATAAAACCGGAGTCAGAAATTCTTCAGTTTCCCTTAAGCTCTTTTTAGTCTTTCCGGATCCATTGCCAAATAAATTATGGGTTGGTAAGTCTGTATCTTCTTTTGGTGGTTTTTGATCGAAAAAAAAAAACATCAATCATTTATCACAGATAAATGTACAGATCTGTGTATGCAAATCTGTCTATCTCTTTCAATATGTTGACATCTCTACACAGCTGGAAAAGACGGCCGTCTCATTATGCCGCTAACCAGAAAACAATTGACTCCAGATGTAATCCTTCTAGCTTTTGAAGTGTCTAATCAGAGCGAATCTGGAGACCTAGTGCCAAATCTGGGCTGGAGTTGGCCAATCCTCACTTTCCAGCCCTGACAGAGTTCAAAAGTGTTTACACCGCCTTGTAGGCGATGAATTATTTTCATCTCTCCCTCTCTTAGCGCTGTCAGCCTTTCATTGAGGTTGCTCATTTTTCTTCTCTTAATTTGACATTAATGGCAATATTTCCTATTTCTTCCTAATATCTTTGCTTGAATATTGTTTCCAATAAATAATGGATATAGGGAGGATTGAGGAAAGGACAAAATATGAATGGGATTCAAGAAGATAGAAGATGGCGACTGACGTTTCATTTCAATTTTTGAAGATTGTAGCTGTTAGGCAAGCAAATGAATGGAAAGGATTTCCACAGTAGGGAATTGCGATAAAGAAACTGTTGGATTAGAAGTGTCGGTTGCATTTAACTATTTCAACAATAAACGGGTGGGGCCATGCCAATTTAGTAGCACGCTTAAATTCATATAGTCGTTGTATTAGGAAGAAAATCTTATTAGAGCAGTTGTCATGAAAATATTTAAAGAAAAGACAGAGGGAAGCCACGTTGGTTAGAAAATGACTGAAGTCGAGATGCCAGGTCAGGAACGATTATATTGCATAGCCTTCATCTTAAACGTAACTTTCTATCTGGAGTGGCTCTCGAGCTTTTCACTGGCCGACATCTTGTATTAAAAAAGTTTCTATCTGAATTTCTGGGATGAGGAGTTATCATTTTTTTTTGCAAAATTTATATTCAATCCTCATCTTTGTTGTTTTTATCACAACCTTTCGGCCGTTGTTCCCTCCGGTCTTCCTCAGGTGTACATCGATCTGGGTAACCTACAAAGAGGTCAGCCAGTTCCCTGTAGTTTACGAAAATCGATATACCTCTGAAGAAGGTCGGGGGAAGGTCCAACAATCGAAATGTTGTAATAAAATTTTTTTTTAGAGCAATAGTCCGAATATAAACAGTGAAAAAATTGTTTATTTACTGTTCTTAATATTCTGCATCTTTTCTCCCTCCATCAGGGGAGGGGAGTCTTCAAATATTCACCTAAGGGTCAATTCGCTTTGCTTGCCTACTATATTTTAATTTTTTCATTAATTTTATTTGGCTTTTGTTTATTTGGTTCTTGTTTTGATTGCCCCACTGCCAACAAATTTTGACGTTTTCCAAAATTGTGTTCCGATCACACGAGAAATTTACAACATTTTTTTTAACATGTCTGACTTACGACCCCTCATGACCATAATATATTGGCAGAACAAAAGAAGTATATAAGTATACGATTATACTTATATTAATCTGCAAAAGAATGATACAGCTTAGACTTGCACTAGGAAAATATATCCTGAAAATCCTACCCACATCAGTTTGCTAATACTAGTAATGAATAGCGGCTTGGATTGAGGAATCGGAGAGCCGAGTTCGAATTCCAGCCAAATCCATTACATTCACTTACGTGCTAATACCCTTGGGAAAGGTATGAATCCTCTTCTCCTTCCAGCTATGGGTAAATAGCAGGACAGACTGGGTTCTATAGCCTTGGATGGCAACTGGTCTAGGAGAAGGACAACTCTGAATTCAAAACCTGCGGAGGGTCGTTTGGGGACCTTGTGGCACGTAGTGCACCAGGTCTCTGTATTCGACCCTTCAAAAAGTGTGGATGGTCCTGCACGAAACCTTCACCGCTATAATCAAATCTCATGTGCTGTTGTCGGGCTGTCGGTTTCCTAGGAACTAATCTGCTTGACCCTCATACGTCGAATTCGTGTGTGGAGCATCATATATAATTATCTGCAAAACATTTACTATTTTTATTATTTATTAAAAAATAAAAATTATAATAAAATGTATTTTAATAAAAATAAGGAAAATAAATATATTAAAACCTAGCAGTCATACCCAGCTGGTGGATCAGAAAAAGCGTTCAACTAGAGTGGAGCAAAAACAGTATCATGTGCTCCATAGCATGCCAACATCTGGGAATAGATCTCTGCAGGTTTGACTCCAGTGTGTTGTTTGTTCATGGTGCAAATTCTGACAGGAGCATCCATACATCTGACCTGGTTCCTCCCTGCCACTCGACTGAATGATGGAATACTGCACAGGGTTAGCTACCTGTCGTCCCAGAGTGTACATGTGGTGTCATGCGTTAGCACTTCCCTGCTGTTTCTATTTGGTAATTTCAAAATTGACTTTAACCCCTTATTGCACACACACACACACACACACATATATATATATATATATATATATATATATATATATATATATATATATATATATATATATATATATATATATATAGATAGATAGATAGATAGATAGATAGATAGATGTGTGTGTGTGTTTATGTGCGTGTCTTTAATTATATATACAGGGAGAGAGACAGAGACAGAGAGACCGAGAGTGGAAGAGAGAGAAAGGGAGAGATATAAGAAACATACTGAGAATAGATATATAGATATGAACAGGTTGAGATAGATAGATAGATAGATAGATAGATATGAGGAAACTGACATAGATAGATATGAGCACAGATATGAATAGGGTAAGATATATATATATATATATATATATATATATATATATATATAGTGACTGATATATATGTATATATAGTGATTTATATATATATATACATATATACATATATATACATATATATATATATATATATATATATATATATATATATATATATATATATATATAGTGATTTTCCAAGTGTAGTTTGGATGTGGCGCAAGGCGTTCTACCGAGACAAGCTAACCATTACACCACCTCAAGGTGGTGTAATGGTTAGCAAGAACAATTACGACTGAGTAGTGAGTTCGATCCTCACTGGGTTCCTCTTACTTTCGCCCTTGTGCCACATCCAAGCTACGCTTGGAAAATCCCTATATATATACATACATGTATAATAGATATAGATATGGATAGATAGGAACAAATTGACATAGATAGATAGATAGATAGATAGATATGAACAGGCTCTGATAGATAGATAAACGACAATTTATCCATCGTACTCTGTAGATAGATAGATAGATAGATAGATAGATAGATAGATAGGAACATACTGCAAGAAACACATAGAAAGAGAGATGTTTAATCAAAATCATTCATAGATTTACCATTTCCCGCAACTTCTTTCAATATTATTCTAACGCCATTATCTAGTAGAAAAATCAAAGACAAATTTTAAAAAATCGGCCTAAAATTCCTGTTTTTTTTTTTTTTGTTTTTTTTATTGATGTTTATTTTTATATCAAAGTCGCATAACAAAGGGAGGGAACTCATTGTTACTCATGAATTAAAATATTTTCTCTGTATTTATTTGTCAATACAAAATTCTTTTAAAATCTTAGCAGACAGAAAATTAATGAGATGGTCGTTAAAAAAAATCAATAAGCGAGAAAAATTAAAGAAAATGTTTTCATATTATTCAAAATTTAGATGTTAAAGGTTGAATTATGAAATATTTCAATATATCAAATATTTTTATACGACTCGACCTATGAATTATTACTTAAATATAACAATGGCAATAATAATAATAATAATAATAATAATAATAATAATAATAACATTATAGCCACATATAAATATAAATTCTTATACTTTTTCCATCTACTGCTTGCCAGTACACGAAATGAACTTTGCTTATGGAAAATTTAAAAGCATGTAAAGCACACAGAATTTATTCTAGAAATACTTTAAGAGGAATAATATTTATCATATATATTTGTATTACAATTTTTATTCTATCGTAATATGTCTGCATTTTATACCAACACTCACTGCCAATACATTCTTCATTATTAGTATTATTTTATTAATAGTTTTCTTCCATCTTATTGTTTTTTCTTTTTTTATCCCAAATCTCTATGTTAATACACTTATCATGATTACTTATATTTTATTAATAGTTTTATTCTTTATTTTATTTCTTTTAATTTGTTGTTTTTTTAATTTCACGCCAAACAAGATAATAAAACTGCTAAGACGCAAGGGGTTACTAAGAATATAAGTGAAAAACAACAACAAAAAAAAAAAACAGGAATTAAGAAGACAAAAGATACCCACTGACATTGCATTTAAGTTTTTGAAGATCAAAGTTAACTGGGAAGCAAGAAGAGAGTTCCACAAGCAAGAAGTGCAATAGAAGAAACTGTTAGCATAGAACATACGGTTATATCTAGCTATTTCAACTGTATAATGATGAGACCTTGCCGCCAATCTAGTACTGCGCTTAAATTTATGAAGTCTAGATACTATAGAGGAAGGTTCATTAGAACAATTATTAATAAATTATTTATTTCCATATTTTTTTAATTATTTTATAAATAAATAATTTATTTTCTATTATTTTTCTATCTTATTTTCTATACACAAGGAACCTAAGTTATGGCAATAGAAATATGACTAAATCCGAAATAACATGTCATGACCAATAACATTGCAGATTATTGCTTGAATTTTATCAAGAATCTCTAAATATATAGCAAGAGCTGCAGATCATATGTATCGGCAATATTCAAAGCAAGGACGAACTTGTAAACATGTAAGGTAGACTGTGGCGAGAAAAAATGGCTGGTACGGCACGGAGAATCAATTTTCGTAGCTGCAGACCTAACATTTGATTCAATATAATCTTTCGACTTCATCTTACCGGAAGACGTTAACCTGAGAAAAGGGCACTGAGTTCTTCACCTGGAGGTAAGCACAAGTTTTGCCGATGAAAGGCAAAAAAGGGTCTCTCAGATGATTGATAGCGAGCAGTTTTCGTTTTCGAAAGCGTTAAAATGAACAAACCATTCTTTGTCCCAGTTACCAGCACATTGTAGGTCATTTACTAAGCTACTAATTTGATCTTATCGAACCGAATGGAATTTTTTTTTTATAAGCGTTTCACCCCAAGCAAGGCGGGAAGCCACTAGGAAGCAAGGGGTTACAGAAAATTTGGAGCAAGATCAGATAGGAGTGATAGAAGAAAGGATGAGGAGAAGGGTAGTGGATAGATCAAGGCAACTGGAGATAATTTCTATTAAGACAGGAATTAATAGTTGTGTCTTCAAGGCAATAAACCCGCTAAGACGCTGGGGTGGGGGGGTACCAAGAATATGAGAGAGAAAACAATAAAAGAACACAAACTAAGAAGACAGAATATATCGATTGACACTGCATTTAAATTTTTAAAGATGGAAGTTAGCTTGAAAGCAAGAAGCTAAAAGAGAGTTCCACAAGCGAGAAGTGCGATAGAAGAAACTGTTAACATAGAACTTACGGTTACATCTAGCATTTTCAATTGTAAAATGATGAAAACTTGCCGCCACTCTAGTACTAGAAGAACCTCTTAGAATTACTATTAAGCCGGGAATTAATAGTTGTATCTTCAAGGCAATAAATCCGCTATGACGCGGTTTGGGGGGGTACTAAGAATATGAGAGAGAAAACAATAAAAGAACAGTAATTGAGAAGACAGAATATACCGATTGACACTGCATATAATTTTTTAAGATCAAAATTAACTAGAAAGGGAAGAAGCTAGAAGAGAGTTCCACAAGCGAGAAGTGCGATTGAAGAAACTGTAAGCATAGAACTTACGGCTACATCTAGCAATTTCAATTTTAAAATGACGAGACTTTGCTGCCACTCTAGTACTAGAAGAACCTATTATAATTACTATTAAGACGGGAGTTAATAGTTGTGTCTTTAACATAATTGCCGAATTGAGAACTAATGGCATCAGGAATATCATTTATGAAAATTATTAACAACGTAAGTCCAAGGATAGAGACCTGATGAGACCCCTGCATGAATGCAAAAAGATCTAGAAGAGTGGCCATTAAAGTTAACATTCATTTAGCGATGTGATAAGAAAGACTGAATCATTTGAAAATATCCTCCAGAAATCCTGTCACCTTTCAACTTGTGAAGAAGACCAGCACGTCAAACCCTGTCAGACACATTGTAGATATCGAAAACGACAGCCCGAGCTTCATCGTTCTTATATAAAGCTTGCTAAACCCTTTGAGTAATAAACGTTAGTACAGCAGCGTTTGACATACATAAGCGGAAACCATATTGCTTATCGGAAAGAAAACCCTGCAATATGTGAGACTTAACCATTTCAGAAATACTTAGAGCCTCTAGTATCCCCCCCCAAAAAAAAACGGTAGAGGGGTAATATGCCGACCGAAGGATCAGATAATACGTCTGTGTTCTTAAAGTTTAGAACTACAGAAGAGGATTTCCAACAAGACAGTCTGTTACGTGATACACGATTGGATGATTATGTATTTTTCGATACGACTGACGAGGCAGATTTTTCCCGCAGTAGGTTGCCATTTCTTTATGCGGTAGACTGTCCTGCTATTCAACCTTTAGCCGCGGTGGTGGTGGCGGTGGTGAGGAGAAGAGATGGATTCGTACCTTTCCAAAGGGTATTCGTGCGTAATTGAATCTAACAAACCCGACTGGAATTCGAACTCGGCTCTCCAAGTTCTCACCCTGAACCGATACCCCTTACACCACAATGCACATCCAATAAATGGGAATACAAAAAGCCACAATTAAATATGGAGTAACAGGATCTTGTTCAGAAGCACATTTCTTAAGAACCATTGCCGAGATGCCATAAAGTTTACATTCTTTGTGGGGATCCAGTTTAGAGATGATAGCAGAAAACGTGAACGGTATATATGCATATCACTAAGTAGAGACTCAGTTTTAAGTGGGAAGTCAAAGTTACTCCAGACGGATAAGGAGTAGAATTTGAAGAGAATTTACAAACAAAGCATTTTGATTTATCAACAGAAGTATCTAACACCTCAAATTTGGTGAAGAGAGGAGAGAGGGAACACTTACTCTAACACACTATTACAGATCCGCCAGTAGTCACGAGAACCAAACTTTTTATAATGTACCTCACTCTATCGGCAAACAAAACGTAGTCACCGTTTAGAATTATTGCGAAAACAAATAGGCGTATGTTGCGATCCGAAGTATCACGCTGGTACAATCGGAAAAAAAGTGATTCCTCTGTAGCATATCGGCTGATAAAGACAGCGTGAACCAAAGCGAAGATTGACGTATTTGAGAGAAAGTACAAAAATGCCGGCTTTCAACCCAAGAAGAAACACCATTAAGCAAAAAGAAAAAGTTAAGAATATCAATCCAAGGAGTGTTTGGAATAAACCCACGAAATAAATCCCAACCAGTACGCTGAGGCACGATGGAGTAATGGATAGCGGCTCGGACTGAGGAATCTGAAAGTTCAAATTCCAGTTGAATCCATTACATTCATTTACGTGCTAATACCCTTGGAAATAGGTATAAATCCTCTTCTTTTCCTCACCCAGCTATGGGTAAATAGCAGGACAGACCGGGTTCTATAGCCTTGGATGGCAACTAGTCTACCTCAAAAAGAAATGGTAAACTACTGCGGGAAAAAAATCTGGCTCGTCAGTCATGTATCGAAAGATACATGATCGCCTAAGCGTGTATCACGCATGGCACATAACTGACTGACGTGCTAATACCCTTTGGAAAGGTATAAATCCTCTTCTTCTCCCCCCAGTTATGGGTAAATAGGAGGGTAGATCGGATTCTATAGCCTTGGATGAGAGCTGGTCTACCACAGAATAGAAATGGCAACCTACTGCGGGAATAATCTGACTCGTCAGTCATGTATCGCATGAACCATAACTGACTTACGCTGATTACGTGAAGTAATCGTGAGAATAGGGCGTCCCTTTCTTATACACGACTCAAAAGAAATCTCAAAAGATACCACAGCGTGACCCGAAATGCTCTACAACAAATCAAAAAAAGGAAAGTACTGATCAGATTTATAAGGAAGCGAGTAAGGAAATCCACTACTTGACTGGGAGACAAAGCAATGAAAAAATTGAAAGTTTGAATACAATTAGATGGCTAATGCAACTTGACGTGATGAGCATGTAATGAATGAATGTACACAGAGAGAGAGAGAGAGAGAGAGAGAGAGAGAGAGAGAGAGAGAAAGAGAGAGAGAGAGAGAGATTTCTGTATTATCAGAAATTTTATTTAATATATTACAGTCCTGGGAAGAAGGAGAACCATAAATAAAAAAGAGATAGCTAACAGTGTGCAATAACGAAAGTCGAAAGCACATGAAAGAATAACCTGGAGATTCAAGAGTCATTTAACTTACAATCGGGAGACTTTCCCAAATATAAAAACGAACACCGTGTACGCTCGAATCTTTTCGACAAAGACGAAGGTAGCCTGGAACAGAGAATTCATTAACAGCGAGAGAAGACTTTAAATTCGTTTCACAAAGTGCGAAGATATATGAAGAACATTGAAAGGTTGAGGCGAGTAGGTGTTTTTTTTTTTCTTTACTGGCTTACACCTGTTCGTTTTCATTATATCTATCGTAAGATGTTGTTTTAAGAAGAAAAAGACCAAAATAATTACCACTATCTATAGCAATGCAAACTGGCTAGAAGGTAGCTAATACTAAAACACAATGTGGCTTCAGTGTCGCCTACCGGAAATATATGCAAGGAAACCTACCCAACATGGCACTTCAAATACTCCGATATTATGCTACTGTTGGTCAGAGCAGCTTCTCTAAGCGCTACTAAAGCGTTTTGGGCTCTACTTATTCCGCTTGCATATCTCGTCGTAAAAACGTGTGAAACAAGTGACTCTATGTCAAAATCATTTATTTCTTACTGTTGCGTGTGGAAAAGCGATGACTCTATATTCCTTTGATAACACAGTAGGCTAAGATCTCTTGCTTCGGGTTGCAGCTAGTCTATGAGAAGGACTTGCCACATTAGCCTTGATGGGGAAACTGTTTAAACAAAGATAATTCTGAATTTTAAGTTGATCTGAGAAGGATGGGCTGCGTCAGACGATCGAACTCTAGTCACACCCGCTACTGATACGGCTGCAGTCTGTTGTTCTATCGGCCCTGATTCGATGAAGTTGTCATGACGATGATCAGGATCCATTTGCCTAGGTTGCAATTTGACAGAAACATACCTCTCCATTTGCCGTTTGTTTTTAAAATTTTACTATCGAATATGCATTCCAAACCCTCTTTGTGACCCCCTCCAGATTCCTCTTTGTGAAATCTTCTAAATTTTAGGAGTTTGCTTCAGTTTGCTACGTTAATTCGTAGTATATTTTTCGCCCTACGGAAGCAAAAAAAAAAAAGAAAAAAGAAAACCGCCTATATATTGGATGAAGCATATTTCAAAATAGCCGCGAATAGAAATTTAAAGAATATTCTTAATTACTTTTACCTTTTATTATTATTATTATTGCCATTCTTATTCTATATGCCGCATCATTTCAAGACGTTGGCGATTATGGCTCTCAACTTTTTCGTGGGCCTTTGTAGCTTTTAAAGAATGTTGTCTTTTTCCAAATCCTGCTCTGCAGTCAGTTCGCGTTACTTTCTTATGACCTTCTGTGGGGAAAATTGTGAAAATGGCCTGCCTCGGAAACGCCTGCGAATCTGTGCGGTGTGCAAAACTCCAGTTTGCTAGCGGTAAAAGGAACCAAAATGGCGGCGCCCATATTTTATGCGGGGCGGTCTCGGTTAGTTAACGCGAAATCTCGTTGTCTCGCCATTCTCATGAAAATCGTGGTCGGTCCTCGGCTGTATAAAGCAGCCGCGTTTTGCTGTTTCGGATCAGAGGGCTTTTGGCTCGTGAGAAGGTTGGACGTGTGACACCGGGGTTTTTCGGTTACCCTCCTCACGGTTTTTTGTTCCTACCTGCTATTATCAGTTGAGTTGTTGTGTTATCCCCACACCTTCTTAATTTCAAACTGCCATGCGAGTATCGGATTCTCCAAGCCCTCTTTTCTCACTATGTGCCTCATAAAATTCAACTGTCTCCTCCTGACGTTCAGTATAAATTTCCTTTTTGCTGTCATTGTCTCTAGAACTTCGTCATTGCTCACATGTTCCGTCCATGGCATTCTCAGCATCTTTCTGTAGAACCACATTTCTGTTGACTCAAGTCTTTTCTTAATCTGTCGGGTGATTGTCTAGCATTCACTGTCATAATGGCGGACTGATACTACATAACAGTTCAGTAGTATTTTCTTTGTTTTTAACAATATGTTTCAGTTTTTTTAATATAAGGTAATCAAAAACATCTCTGACGTTTTTTGGGGTTTTTTATGTTGTGTCGATCACTGATACGCAAATGAGTGTGTTACGTGTCGGATAGGCGATGTGTGTCGGATTGGAGACATTGCCTTCCGCACACAACACCAGTCATAGCGCGAAAAGCGGCCAGGAAAATGGCGGTGTCGAAGCAGTTGTTTCCGTGTTGTCTGCTTTATGACAAGGTGTGCTTGTACGTAGCCGCATCAAGTCGCCGAAAACGTCAACCCTTTGTTGATAATGCCCTGAGTAGATGCGCCGCCAGGTTTTAATTCAAGAAGTTCAGGTTCGAGAGATCTGAACCCTGCAGTTGCTGATCCCAGGTTCTGGATGATCAGGCTCTGAAGGCGGCCATGAATGAAAGACAACAGCGAAACTTGTGGTGAGCCTTCCGAACTCTTCCAGATTCCTGATTTCATCTGGAAGAGACTTCACCTGCATAGCATAATGAAGGCCTATAAGTTGAGCAAATGGTATCCAACACACTGTCGGGAGCCAACAAACATCAACGAATAACTCCTTGTTTCGATTGGCTTTCCCGCCACCGCAACGTAGCCATATTAGATCGAGTGATCACCATTTACGTGAAAATGGTCCTCAGCGTGGTAGATATTGGTTGTCCCACGGGACTCTGTGATTCACACCACAAGATCAACTTTACACCCACGCAAGATTATGATCTGTATGTGCTGAACTTAAACCCTTCTTAAAATTTAGATTTTCTTTATATTCGTAAATTCGAGAGACGTAGTGCAGTGGATATTAGCTCGAGATGGGCTATCAGAGAGTCGCCTTTGTTAAATTCACTTAGTCGCAAATACCCTCTGGAAAGGTACAAAGCCATATATTCTCCTCCTAGCTATGGGTTAATATTGGGGCGCATCCACCTTCTCATCAGAATGGACTGATCTCTCTACTACTAATAGGAGAGTTCTATAGAGTTCTGGGAAGATCAGGTGACCATCACACCCCCGTCTCTCTACCTGAAGATACAGTTGGACGTTATACTCTTTCTGATTGTTACTGACTAACCTGCGTTCGTTTGACTACTAATCTCTCTGTTGTAAATACCTCTTCAGATATACCAGTATTTTCCCCTACGCATGTGTTTGCCCTTATTTCAATACACGCACGCGGAAACACTCAATATCTCAACAGTTAAATAGCAGGATAACCTGTCCCGATCATTCAATAACCCTGTACCTCTTTTAGGCTATATTTTACTTACAGCCCATCACTATCTTAAAATATCCGGAAATTAAAAAAAAAAAAACGGATATATTTATACGAATATATTTATGTTAATTTTTAGTAGAATGATCCATTAGCGAGTCGAATTAAGAAGATATATCCTGAAAATCCCATCCGGATCATTTTGCTGATACTAATTATATATATATATATATATATATATATATATATATATATAGCTTAATCCTCGTCTCATTGAAAAAGGGCACAGGCGTGTCGAAAAATTCCAACCGTAAAATCTTTATGTTTGTGCTTGAGTTTAATCAGAAGGATAATAGAGAATAAATAAAATCAATCTTATTGCCAATATTGCTATCAATTTGTTGATTTTCATTCTTCAAATTTGATTAAAGGGCCTATTATATTCAGGAGCATATATATATATATATATATATATATATATATATATATACGCCCTGAAAAGTTTATTACGGATGAGGTCTCTGGGGAGGAAGTGTGGGTTTGCAAACAGTGACTATTACGGCTAATAATGTAAGACTCTTCGAGGCATTGAATCGAATTCTCTCAGTCACTGTGTGTTTATCTAAAAATAAGTACGTTTAAATTCACATTTATCCTTACCGTGCGCTAACGGCTTAGTGGTAGAATCTCCGACTGACGCCAATTCATTCGGGTTTCCATACTAGTTAAAGGCAACCGGATGTCTAGCCACACTGATGAGCTATGATAAAGCTAAACAGTCTGTCTGCAGATGACTATATATATATATATATATATATATATATATATATATATATATATATTAAATAAAAACAGACCACTTTAAGGTTCCATGTAATAAATTATTTCACCAAGCCCTTTCAAAGGACTGCGGATCATCAGACTTTACTTCCAAAGGTTGAAACGAAAAATGAAAATAAATTTACACATTTTTGACGGGCCGTATTAAGCATATGTAAATTAACGAAGTGAGGAAGTGAGGGGGGAGAGAGAAGACATGAGTGAGTTAGATGTTAGATATAGTGCTCAGTGCGGTTATACAAAACAAAGATATGTATTAATTAGTACATATACGCGTACCTACGTTTTTATGTACGGACATATATATGTATATATATATATGCATATATATATATATGTGCGTGTGTGTGCGTGTGTGTGCGTGTGTGTGTGCGTGTTAGTTTATACATACAATTTATTTGAAGTAAATTCTCTGATTTTCTGCGTTCACCGATAGGAATCGACCCTGTTTTCCATTAGGGAAAACATCATTTCGACTGAGGTGCTTTTAACCATTCAGCCATAGAGAAACGTCTGGTTAGCAAAATCCGAATTATTGTTTATAAACACACAATCTGTGACGATTTTTCACTATCGATTTTATCTGATCACGAAAAGTATCTTAGCGTAAAACAATGACAATCGATAAAATCCAAAAATTATTTAATATATTTTCTGCTTATAATTTATTTTGTATTATCTATGAAAATAAAGTATAAACAAAATTAAATATTAAATATAAGCCTGACTTTATTCATTTTAATATATATATATATATATATATATATATATATATATATATATATATATATATATATATATATATTCATACATGTTTCATTAAATAATATAGACAAGTGTTGTCTATTTATTTTATGTAAATTCTTTTCCTAACGTCTGATAAACTTAATAAAATTATCATTAAACGAAGAAAGAAAATCACAATATTGATCCATAATTTTAATCCAATCTAAGCTTTCGGCTTACATAAGCCATTCAAAGATGTCACTTACTGTACAACATATTAAGCAATACACGGACTAGACAATGATGATAGTCTGTTTCCGTTTACATGGATGATTTCCAAGCAACGATAAACACGTGCATATAAGACGCTGGAAGTGAAAATCGCACCGCAGCTCACGACGTCACACATGACCACGCGAAAGTGAATTCGAGAAGTATTAAGTATGGGAAGCCGTTGGTATAAATCAATGGCTTCTGTTACCAATTATAGACAATTATGGATATTTGTAGAGATTCCATAGTTGATTTTGTTTAGGTTAGGTTTCAACTGTTTGATGCATATTGCTTCAAGGATTTTTAGGATATATATATATATATATATATATATATATATATATATATATATATATATATATATATCGTGGACTCCCCTGTCGTATTCGACGTATGAGAGTCAAGCTGTTCAGTTCCACGGAACCGACGGCCAGACACCAGCCCATGTGATTTGATTATAGTTGTGAAGGCTTTGTGCAGAACCAACCACATTTTTTGAAGGTCCGAATAGAGAGACCTGGTGTACTACGTGCCACAAGGTCTTCAGACGACCCCACTCAGGTTTTGAATTCAGAGTTGTCCTTCTCATCTACGGCTGTAGAACCCAATCTGTCCTGCGATTTACCCATAACTGGAAGGAGATGAAGAGGATTAATACCTTTCTCAAGAATATTAGTACGTAAGTGATTCGACTGTAACTCGAACTCGGCTCTCCGACTCCGCTATCCACTACTCCACCGTTCCTCCGATATATATATATATATATATATATATATATATATATATATATATATATATATATATATATAATATAAACATTAA